CCCCCCCATGCAAATCTCTGTATTTTCTAAATATTGTAGAGGTAATGTCATATCCTGGGCATGACCATTTCTGGACCTATTTTTTTAATTAGTAAAAACTGACAGCTTTGCTAAGTGTTCACCAAGAGATCATGTACTGATGCGCAAAACTGTAGTCATCTTGAAATCTGCAAAAAAAAAAAGGTTTTTTTCCACTTTCTGATAGACGCATAACTGGTACCTGCATATTGTGCTGACTTCAGCAGATTCTGGTCAGTGCGCTTATTTTCTGCCTTGTCGTTTTTTTGTTTTTTCTTTGGCACCGTTCCTGTGTTAATGAGGAAGAGGTAGAGTCATTTTAACCGTCAATGACTGTGCATGTTTCCTACTGCAGTTTATATATTTTTTTCTGTTATTGAATTACATAAAAATTGGAGGAGATAATATTAATTGAATATTGATCACTGGGAATAGCAGACACATTTTTCCAGATATAAAAACAATGTAGTTTTGAGGTAAAGTGCTATAATAATTTGAACCATTTATCCAAGATCTCTCTACTGAATTCATATTTCCCAATCAAGCACATACTGTAAACTCTCTGGCCTTCAAATAAAAAAAAAATATATATATATATTTTGGGGTGCAGCACGGTGGTGCAGTGGTTAACATTACTGCTTTGCTGGGCTGGGACCCTTAGTTCAATTCTGGACCTGAGGTGCTATCTGTGTGGAGTCTGTATGTTCTCTCCAGGTTCTCATGGGTTTCCTCCCACAATCCAAAAAACATATGAGCAGGAGAGTTGACTTCTGGGAAAACTGGCCTTGGTGAGTATGTGTGTGTTTGTATCTGTCTGCCCTGCGATGGACTAACGTCCCATTCAGTGTGTGTCCTGCTTGCACCTCTTACTTGCCAGGATACGCAGCAGTTTGTATAAGGCAGTTAGAAAACTGTCTGAAAATATGTTTTGACAATGCACTAATACTGCTGAACCTCTCATTCATAAAAGTAATTAACCAGATTTTAATTCTCTCATACCTATGTTTAAAATGTTTGCTCCTGATCAAAACTGGTTCCCCATTTCTAAAAAAAATATTAAGCCTTGCAAATGGGCAACTGTACCAAGAAACAATAAACAAATGCAAAAGAAACCATAAAATCATGCTCTTTTCCAATTGCAAAGACACTGGGAATGGTACATGGACTGTATTTGGAATTAAACAATGGATTGAAGTTTGCAAAGAACAGTACTAAAAAGCTATGAAAGGTTCTCCCTGCTGGTGTGGTCACCTTTCTCTGTTTCCAGACTGGGCTTTTCCTCTTTCGTCTCCAGCCGGGATGAAGGCTTCCGGAAGGCTGGGGCCTTGCCCTTGGTACCACTGACCAGGCTGGAAGAAGAGAAGAAGGAGCAGGAGGACTCATTCACAGGATCGTCAGGAGCATCTTCTGAGACAAAGCCACTCTGGAACCCCTGAGTGCTGGATTGCCAAGGAGGTAGTGCTATGCTTTTCATCTGTGACCAGGTCCATAAAACAACACAAGCTACATTTCCCCTTTGTTTTACCTTACCTTGAGTTTAAGGCTGTAGCACAAAGCAGATATTGAAGTCAACAGTCAAGGCAAGAGATAAGTACAGTATTCTTAAGCTCTTCAATGCTCATTGTGTTTTGTACATCTAGTACCTGGTAACTACTAAATTTGATGGCAAACTTACACCTCAATATTGTGCTGCTTCTTAGAATGTAACTGGTTGTCTTAGTCCTGTGAACGGATCCAAATCTCGGTTGTCAGGATTAAAGCAAACAAATGGTACCATTATTCCAAGAGTCCACTAACTTGAAAAGGCTGGGAATGTGAAAAGGCTAGGAACGTGAAGTGAGATGAAACTGAGTGAAACAACATGGAAACTGACTGTACATGTATGATTCCAGAATACCTAGAGTAGTATGCCAGCTCAATCCATTTGGGTGCTAGCTGTAAAGATGGACGTCCAGTTAGGTGATTTGAACCCTGATCCCCTGGACTGCAGTACAAATGCAATACTTCTACGACAATGGGATATTCACACGGCAAAACTATTGGTGAGAGATTTACAGTACTTGATATTCAAAAGTCTCCAGTGAAAGAGGCTGAAGAATTTCACTTCATAGGAACCTACAATATATGAAATATTAACAGTATGTTTGTATATTAGTTATGCAGATTGCAGAGACCAGAGCCATTAAACTGACCAACTGGTTACATTTTCTTTTTCTCATGAGGTATATCCTTAGTATCTGCATGAGCAGTTGTGACAAACTCTAGGACGAGTACCAGTCCAAATAAGACATAAGTCTCAGCTTGACTGACCTGGGGGATTTCATTCTATTCATAAAAAATAATAAAATATACATGGAAACATATATTATGAAATTAAAAATTAACTCAGATGTGTGTGCATTTTGAAAGAGTAATAATGGAAAAACATCACTTACTTCTTTCTTCCTAAAGTTATCTTTATCTTCTGTACTTTCTGTGGCTGTGGATCTTCACTCTTAAATAGAAAAGTGTAAAAAATAATCTTCTGTACTTTGGGTACAGTCTATATTCATTTTATATGTTTAGATATTTGCATTACATTAATGTTCTCATAATTGATTAAATGGGTGAGCACATCTTATCCCAACTGAAATATTAGATAAATGCAACAGAAGAAATATATGTACAGAATGTATAATTTTACATGTACTGTATAATACATCTGAACACTTTACATCTTGAAATGTTTGCTCCCCTATTAAAAACCCACTGCATATAATCAATTTCAAGTATCACTAATTTAAAGTGGTACATATTTTATGATTATGTTAACATGGATTATGTTAACCAAAAATGCCATTCTATACTGTGCTTAGAATCACGTCAAAATTCTTGACTTTCCAAGTTTCTGGTTTATAATAGGTGTAAAATACATACAAATGGTGTGACACAATGGATACCATCATAAAAAATGAATGAGCATTTAAATTTTAAAGTGATCTCTGTGTGCTTCACTTTACCTTGGTTGGTTTTTTCTGACTTGATTTACATTTTGTCTCAGCATCCTTCGATGCTCCTAGAAAGCATAAACAAACACGCCTGAATTTGGAACAGCTGAAAAACAACTATGAAGATGGTGACTGGTGATTACTGTTTCACAAAATTACAAAAAAACACTACATCTAAATGTAAAATGAGGAATAAAAAGCAAACACTACAAGAAGTGCACCGCATCTGCTAATTTGAGAGAGTTACATACATGGTTTTCATTCCAACAGTTGTGAGTCACATAATCAATTATTAATTGATCCAATAATGGCATTTATTTGAACTCTTTATATTAAGTTAAATACATTAAAGGCCCTATTCTCCAGTGTGTACAGTTGCAGGATTGATAATCATGAGCTGAGATATGAAGTACAAAATATTGGCGATTCAATATGAGGTGGGTAAAACAACAAAAAATGTCACTCTAAATTAATAAGAAATGCAAAACATATGTTGGCTATGACTTTTTAGCTGATGTGTTCCACAAACAGCTAAAGATCTCCAACTTCTTAGTAAATTAAATTTCCATTCAAAACCAGAAAATCAAAAAAGGAGCACATTTATGATTTGTGTCTTTACATTTTTTGCCATTTTAGGTGAAGAAGTGTTGAAAACATATTTAAGTTTTATTTCGGACTTTGTTAACACACAAAAATGTTGTCTATGCTCAACAGAATGGCAAAACAGTATGTACTGTATAATAGGACACACTCTATACAGATTTATAATAATGTTAAACATTTGTTTCACATTATCAGAAAAATATGCAGAAGTACTGTATCTGCAGTCATATAAAAATGAAGAATTATTATTTCCCACTTAAAACCTGAAATAAATTTATGGATTCTCACCTAAATCTAGATTTTAGATTCTCATCTAAATCTAGATTTTAGATTCTCATCTAAATTCAGCACTCTTATAAATTAATGCATAATTTACTATAATTGTTCTAGAACTGACCCTAAAGATAAAAAGTCGCATCTGTATACTACCTTGTTTTTTGCCCTTTTGTTTTGGTTTTGAAGTCTTCCTTTTGCTAGAAACACTGGAACCCAAGACGGTCTTAGCTCTGTGCTCCATCAGAAGAAATACTTTTAAGTAAAAGCGAGAGCAGGAAGAGAAATCAGTTTGTTTGTATATATTGTGCTTACTGTATATACAGTATCATTACACACTGGAATATTTCGTGGTAAAATACACTAGACAACTAGAGCTACTGTACAGTATATAGTTAAATTAGAAAATCAGGACTTTCTATCTCAGATATAGGGCAGAGATTGTGTTCTGACCAAAAGCTAAAGTTAGTGGATCAAACTTGGAAAATTCATGCCTTTGTTGCACACGTCAATTATTGACATTTAAACACGCAGATTCTGTACTATTGTATATATAAATAAATCACATGTACGTGCAACTTTGATTAAGGACATACAATATGGTTCTCTACATTTGTTTCCACATGTATTCTGTGCATTTTAAAACACAGTTTAATTGATTGATAAAAATATCGTATAGTGTATCCCGAATAAACTGAATCCTAACAATTGATAAAGAATTATAAAGAAATAATTAATCATTCTTTCTTTATAGCATCAGAAGTTCATAAGTCTCCTGGTTGGAAAACCTGGTTAAGCAATGCCAAGCTACCTAACAAGTGGCCTATTTACATTTACCACAAAAATAGATATGATATCGACACCCGGATGCTGCTTTTCATACAGTAGCCAGTAATGTACTGTATTTACAGTACCATCATAACCTATAGCATCATAACAAAAATTAAAGAAGCATAACGTTCATGCTATGTGCAACGGATATATAATTCTAGCAACAACTGTCGGTTTTGTATGTGCCTATCAAAATAAATATCAAGTGTATTATTGCGATGTATCTTAATAGTGTGCTTAAAACTTTGCCGTCTGTAAATGCAGTTATCAAATGCTGTCTCTATCATTTCTATTCTCCATTTCTAGTTATCCATACTGTACCTTAGTCTTGTTTCAGGATGCCTAGGATTCGTATCTCTTTGTTGCTAGATTCCTTTATATCATTTTGCGGTGTCTTTACAAAGATCAGCTAAGTACAAACATGTATTTATTTTTGGACCGATGTATCCATATAAACGCGATAATCATGGGTCTCAAATGCCACACCATTCAACAACATTGTTCGCTCACATACACTTGAATATAGCGCAGCCATCCCTGCTGATGACTTCATTACTGAACCGCCCTATTTTTCACCACAGCAAATAAGATACTGCACTTTCCCTGGACGGCTACATGAGGCGGGTCGAATAGGCCATTATGAATAATAAAAAATAATAGTTTGATGCAGAATCATGCATTTTCGGGTCTTTAATAAGCAGAAGCTTAAATATGTCCTACCTTGAAACACATGTTTCATTGCTGTATCAGGGAAATAAAACTGTAATAATAAAATAAAAAGTTACAATTCGACTAAATATACTGTAAGGGAAAAAAACAACGGTATTTTTCAGATAAACTCTACAGTATTAGTCTATACATGGATTAGATCGATATAGTCAAATATTAGGGCAACACTCTAGCGAACTATGATATATCGTAAACTGTATATACAATATTGACCTATTAGAAAATGCTATAAAGATATGGAATGATTGAAGAATAACTTAACTACATGATCTATAAAATAATCCCCATGCGCTTTGACGTGATGCATTTGACATTTCCTATATGATACCTTAGGAAACGTGTTAGGAGAAGCAAAGCACTGTAATTGCTTTGTGAATATTGATTTGTTTGCATTTCCTTATTATTACGGAACCGATTCATCAATCTTATTTAGTCTACTTTGGTTAGGGTAAACCTAAAACAAATTCTAAATTTCTAACATCTAATGAATGTTAGCAGAAATCTCCCAAGGTGGGATTCTTTGTTTATATTTTGATTTGCCTGTTTAAAAAACCAAAGATAAATCAAAACTCTGATCAGAGGGTATGAAAAGGAAGAGGATATTTACAATCTGAGAAACAGAAGTCTTTTAAGAGCTCAGAAAGAATTTGATTCTTTCACAGCATCAAGTTTATTTTTTGTTTAAGCTTCCAAAATGATGCTTAGAAAAATCTATTCTTCTTTATAAAAAGAAGCATCTTTTAGGGCCAATACAGAGTTTCCATTCTTTTCCCAGCATTTTGAAGCTTTTAAGACACTTAAACCTCTCTGCATTGTACTGTACCTACCTACCTAGCACTTGACTAGGAACACCATGAGCTGTTATTTTTTCTAAAATATATACAGTAACTCTGGTTGACATAGTGTCATAGTGGTTAGCATTGCTGCCTGGCAGTGATGGGGTGCTAACAGCACGGAGTTTGTACAGTATGTTCTCTCCGTGTTTGTGTGGTTTTCCTCCTGGTGCTCCAGCTTCCTCCCACAGTTCAAATTCATGCTGGTTAATTGGCTTCAGGGAAAATTGGCCCTTGTGTGAGTGGGTGCAATGGGCTGGCATCCATTCTATGGTGTAATCTGCCCTGCACCTGTGTGCTTGCTAGAATAAGCTCCGGTTCCTCCACAACCCTGTGTAGGATAAAGCATTTAGAAAATTGATGGGTGATATTAATACTTGGGTAAATATTAATAATTTAACTACAGTAGAGTAAACAAATATCTTGACTTAGTTTTCTGAAATTTGCTATACTGACATTGGTGAGCCTTTGGATCAAGGTATCATAACTGTACTGAATGGATTACATACTGTATAGTATGGTTGAATCCTGACATGTGTAGATGTCTCTAAGGACATTGAATTGAATTGTAACTGGGCATTGGCGTTGCAGAAGAAATGTTTATGGAGCTGTTCAAGTATTAAATAATTGAAAATAATCCAGCATTCCCCTGCTGAGTTTTAGCACATTTTGAAGAATAATTCTATTTTCTCATTAATATTATACTGTATATCATTATCACTTCCTCTCTGAATCTGGTGTCACGCTTTACCTCTCAGTACAACACAAATTACTTCACTGTAACTTGGTAAATAAAGTCACACTCTTTTGGTAAATATAATTATACAGAGAGCATTAAATAATATCTTTATAACATTTAACATAAAATAACGTTTTCACATCTTGATTGTAGTACAATTCATTATTTTTCAACCATATCCTTTCTTAAGGAAAACAATTGGTATTTAATTTAAGCAAGTGCATGCAATAACAGCATAGAGTATAATTAATCTTGTATGAACAACAGTGAGAACAGAAACATATAAGAAACTCATCGTCTGTACATTTATGCTAATACCTGATATATTCAATTTCAACAGATTTATCAATTTTCTAACCACTGCTTCCAGTCAGAGCCTGAGCCCATTCCTGAAAACAGTGGGTGCAAGGCAGGATACCCCAGATGGGATGCCAGTACTTCACAGGGCAGACACAGACACAGACACAGACATGCACACACTCGCACCAAGGTCATATTTCCAGATGCTAATTAACCTACCAGCATGTCTGTGAACTGTGAGAAGAAACTGGAGCACCTGGAGGAATCCCACACAAACATGGGTGGAAAATGAATATTTTAATGGGGCTGATGACACAGACTGTTACATGGTTCAATTGTGTCAGCTCTGATAGTCATCTTGAGCTCTCTGACAGATTTGTTTACCTCTTTTACAAAGAACATGTTTCATGATCATTATCTCAGGTAAAAATACCAGTCCACTGCTAAATCCTAGTTTTAGGTATTAATCTGTTGCAAAAAGCAGTTGGTCAAAATGTGGCTTTCCTTTTATAGAAGGGCTTCTGTAAGACTTTCAATTGTGTCTGCATGTGCTTGTGAGTATATGTTGAGGTATACAAACAAAATAAACTTCCAGAAATTCATTACAAGCACATAGCCTTTCTTTTGAAAATATCACATAAGCTTTTTAGGAATGATAGAAAGCTTATTTCATTCAACAACAACATACAGTACAATTATGTTAAAATGATGTATGATAATGCTAAAAACGTCTGTTGCAAACACTACAGATTTGTGACAAAAAAATAGCAGATATATAGCAGATAGCAATACCACAGCAAAAAGTATCCTAAATGAACATTAGTAGCTACAAGACTAAACAATAACTGAAAATATCTGAAATACAGACTGGCAAAAACAAATTCCCTTGTTCAGATATACCGTGCTTACCCCTTGTAAAGGAGAGTGGCATGTGCCTGCCAGTGTCTTGACAATAGTGGTCTTTTATGATGCTCCAAGAAAATAATGAAAAGATCCTTTTATCTGCAGAAACATCAGGTATCATCCCAACAGTCTAGATATATTTAGAGACAAACATGTGCATCTGTGGTGGTGTACACAGACAGAAACAACCACCTCACAAAAACACTCAGATGCAAGATACCCTTAGTCATAAAAAATAATTCTAACAGCTTGTTTCAAAAACAACATTCTCTAATCACAACTAAATACACAACCCTCTGGTTCATATATTTACAGAAGTCTCATGATGAAGCTTTAAGCCCCTGTTAGCAATTGCCTGTACCAGTCTTTCTGTAGGTCAGGTTATGACATAAGAGTAGGTGAACTCAGAATGACCAGAAAAAGTGACTTTGTTCAGCCTTCTCCTGGCACATGTGGCAATGTCGAGGAGAGGTGAGGCGCGGCAGCAGAACCCTGAATTATTTTTGCTTCCCCAAAATCCCTGTGAGAGAAAAGCTGTGAAAACAATGACAGGGGAACCCTGACCAGACCTCAAAAATGACATGAGCCCAACCTACCTGAGAAGTGAAAATATGGAAGAGATATTCCCTAGAAAGCTAAACGATGAAAAGCTGAACACAATCATATAGATTGCACAAGTGTAGACTATCCAATGACCCCCCCCAATCCCATTAATTTTACAAGCCTGACTCAGAACCCTCTCTGTGTGAAAGCTGGTGCTGGAGTCACCATTGCCTGACATGAGGAATTTCTGTCGCATTTCCATCACTAAATCTCCAGGCAGCTGTCATCTGTCTTGTGGAGCTCAGACAATGCAGCCCAATTCCATAACCTCTGTCTGGTGACTGATGTGCACTATCAGCCTATTCATCCATATTTCATATTCGGCATATGTCATGCAAGTATTGCCCCATCCGCACCAGAATGCATCCCTCTAACTTTGGCTTTGGCTCAGATGCCACTTCCCTAATGCTGACATTATTCTATTGATGATAATTAAATAAATACAGTATGTATCTGGGACTGGGCGAA